CAACCACATCAATACTTAAGCTCTTGACTTTTAAACCTTGTGTACCCACACCCTCATATCTTCCATCATGACGAGACTTAGGAACCCCTACAACATCCACTCCTGACAAATAGTTAGAACAAAACTCAATTGCTTCTTCTGCAATGTACCTCTCAATAATCGATGCTTCCGGACGGTGTGGGTTTTTTGTATACCCTTTTAGAATCTTCATGTATCGCTCTATTGGATACATCCACCGTAAAAAAACTGGACCACATAATCTAATCTCCCTTACTAGATGAACAATCAAGTGAACCATAATGTCAAAAAATGAAGGAGGAAAATACATCTCTAATTGGCACAAGATAACTGCAGCCTCATTTTCCAAATCGTCTAACTTTAGTGGATCAATGGTTTTACAACAAATTGCATTGAAAAATAAGCATAACCTAGTTATGGTCTTCCTTACGTTGTTAGGCAATATCCCACGAATAGCCAATGGTAGTAGTTGTTGCATTAAGACATGACAGTCGTGAGATTTTAAGCCAACTAATTTAAAATCTTTAACTGATACAAGCCTCTTGACATTTGATGAGTAACCATGCGGCACTTTGATACTTTGTAAACACTCACAAAAACTTGTTTTCTCTTTTTTAGACAAAGTGTAGCAGGCAGGAGGCAAATATGTCTTGTTACCTATATATTGTGGGGTTAACTCTTCTCGTATACCCATCAAACCCAAATCCAGACGAGCATTAATACCATCTTTTGTCTTGCCTTGAATGTTGAGAAGTGTTCCGATTACACTATCGCATACATTTTTCTCCACATGCATCACATCAATACAATGTCTTACATCAAGACTAGACCAATATGGAAGATCGAAGAAAATCGATCTCTTTTTCCATACATTTTTCACAGTAGATCGTTTTTGGTACTTTCCAAAGATAACATCAAGTCCCTGTTGTCGCTGATAAACTTCCTCTCCAGACAAGGGCTTTGGAGCAACACCATGCTCTTGTTCCCCATTGAAAGCTTTCCGCAATCTACGATATGGATGATAACGTTTTAGAAATTTTCGATGCCCGAGATAAAGGGTCTTCTTTCCTTTTTCAAGCTGATGGTAACAAGTGTCTTTTTCACATATAGGACATGCATTATGCCCTTTAACTTTATACCCAGACAAATTACCATATGCCGGAAAATCATTGATGGTGCAAAACAACATGGCACGCATATTGAACTGTTCGCCAGAATACGCATCAAAAACATCCACCCCTTCATCCCACAACACTCTTAAATCATCAATCAGTGGACTTAGATAAACGTCTATGTCATTTCCTGGTTGTTTTGGGCCCGATATCATCATCGATAACATAATATATTTACGCTTCATGCACAGCCTAGGAGATAGGTTGTAAATCATCAAGAGAACAGGCCAAGAACTATGGTTAGTACTCAGATTACCGAACGGATTCATTCCATCAGTAGCAAGTCCAAGTCTAAGGTTTCTCGACTCTTTGCCAAAATTTGGAAACAAAGAATCTATTTTCTTCCATTGCAAAGAATCAGCTACATGACGAATTTGTCCATCATATTTTCTTTCTTCTGCATGCCATCTAAGATTCTTTGCGTCATCTGCATTGGCGAATAATCTCTTGAACCTTGAAATTATTGGTAGGTACCATACCACTTTCGCAGGAGGACCCTTTTTTACCACCTCATCATCAATTGACTCACCATCTTTCTTTTTGTAGCGTGAAGCCTTACACTTTGGACAATGATTATACTTTTCATACTCTTTTCTGTATAATATGCAATCATTAGGGCATGCATGTATCTTTTCATACTCCAAACCCATTGGACACAATATTTTCTTCGCCTCGTAATAACGACTTGGCATTACATTACCTTCTGGAAGCATTTCGGTCAACAATTCAAGTAACTCGGTAAAACTTTTGTCAGTCCACCCATTCTTTGCCTTCAGATTAAATAATTTTAACACGGCTGACAGACGTGTAAATTTTTTGCATCCCGGGTACAATGGTTTATCCTTGTCATTGCATATAGTATCATACGTATGTGCCCTCTTAAACGAATCTTGTCCAATATCACGCATCATGTCTTCTAGATGATCATCCATTTCTACACTAACACCATCTCTTTGAGACACGTTTGACTTTGCTACTACTTCACCGTGCCATATCCATTTTGTATAACTTTGACAAATCCCTACACAAATTAGATGATCCATGATTTCTTTCTTACTACGTTTTGGTTCTTTATTTGCACAACGAATACATGGACAGAGAAAAAGCGTAGGAAGACTTTTGTCAGCATTACTTTCAGCAAACTGTAGAAATTCCATCACTCCATGTTCGTACTCGTCACTTAATCGATTAGCTCTCATCCAACTACGATCCATAACTATGTTCACACGGAGGAAGGTCTGACGAACGGTGTGTCCGCGGCTGTGCTACTTCACGGAGATTCCGAGATTGCAAGTTGCGCTGCTTCGCGGAGAAAGACAAATAGAATCAAATTTCAATGGCAAGGTGATAACTCTATTAACAATTTATTACTAATTGTTATTATTTTTACACTTTGCACCACTAATACATAACTGATTCTCACTGGTTTCCTTTTCTAATAATTTCAAAACGATCATCATATATTCAATTTTTGTCTCAGAACCTGTAAATACTTAATAATATAACAATCTTCATGTTTCACTCTTCACCATCATGATCATGAAATTTCACACTGCACAAACACTAACATACACCATATTTTCTTGAAACAAGTAGCTTGTTGCATTAGTTAAAGTTACTAAGTTTAGTATCTATAAACATGTATAACTTTATCTTAAGGAAGAACCATAGAAATTTAAACTATCGTATACTAGCCAACTGCATAATATTGATATGTAATGTAACATAGCGTAAATGCATAAAAATGCTGAAATTGTAATGAAAAAGAAAATGCAAAAAAAAAAAAGAAATAGAATTAGAACGAACCCCAGAATGATTTGCAGAATGATTTGCAGAAGACGGGACTGATGAATCGGCGACGAGGAAGCAGTAGAATGGGTGTTGGAGGCGGTATGCGTCGCGGAAGTGGTGTTGGCGGCGACGGTGTAGGCAGCGACAACTATTTAAAATTGTTATCGCAAAATAAAAATTGATTAAAACATGAACAAACCCCCACAAGCAAGAATAACATATTAACATGATAATGACATTGAAACTTCAACCAAATTAAAATCAAGTGAACATATTATTAAAATCTCATTCAAATTTAAAACAAGCGAAAAAACAACCTCGCAACACGATCACAAGCACATTGACAAACCGAAACTCCATTATCAACTTCAAAATACCGATGTCAAACTATAATTATCATATCATCAAAGTTTATCTTTCGATTCCAAACCAAAAATCTCACAAATATATGAATAGAAATGAAATGTATGATCAGAAATGCAGCAAAACTTCCACTGTCAACTAGCATCCTAATGTCATTAAAGTCAAGGTAAACTAGTACTAACTCAAGTTACTACCCAATTCCACTTCAAAACATGAAAACCATGTTTCAAAATAAGCTTTAATCACCTAAATCAAAAATCGGCCAGCGACAACACATACATAATTATGCCAAAAAATTCAACTCAAACATATTTGAAACCAAAGAGAAACACCAAAAATGTCATTAACATCTCTTAAATTAATTAAGGCAACATGGTATCAACACCAAACGTGACTCATATTTAACATAGATAACACAAAGATCATGGTATTGACACAAAAAGTGTATATACTTCTCTATATTCTCAGCCACCTATAGTATGTTACTGGATCAATAATTAAAAGTGTATATATATAATTAAATGAAACTAAACTAATTATGTATTTAAGTGTGTCATTGAATTGGACTGAATTGCTTCTCATGTGAAGTGACATATTTTTAGAAAGAATAGTATTTTTATTTTTTTCACTAATCAACTGGTACGTATGGATGAGTACTAGAAAAAGCATATACTTGAGGGAGTTATTATTTGTTTTGCATTCTCAAAATAGTTGCTAAAATTAACTACTATTTTCCTAAAGGAAACTAATTAGCATATGCACTTAGTAGTTAATTAAAGTCATGCACTCTTCTTCCTCTTCTTCGGTGACTCACAGAATTTCCATATCTTCCTTTCAACATTATCACCACCATGTTTCACCATACCAACAACCATCAGAAATCACCCTATACACTTTCATTCCTACTCCCTCCGCCATGAAGCTTCATAACCTCACACACATAACATCACCGTAACATCACCTTAATGTGGCTGAAATACAAGACTTTACCATTTTGTTGTTATGATTAATTGAAATACAAGACTTTATCGTATACAGTCTGCATTATTTGATATGACTTTTACTGTGACTTTCTTTAAAAGACATTTCCATAATAATAAATTATATGAATTAGTTTTTTAGTTGTCTGAAACTTAAGTCAGTTGATTCTACTTTATTAATACTTAACAATTATTCTAACTGTGAATTATCTTATTTAACTTCTGAACAAACACTTCAATACTTATACAATTATTCTAACCGTGTATTTGCTCTCAAAAGCATACACCTACAAGTTATTATAGAGATACGATTTATTATGATAATGAAAACAAATTACAATTCTGCTGTGATAGTAAACTAGTGCATGCTCCTAATAGTCAGTTACTTTGTAGTGTGGTGGTGGTGTTTTATAGTGGTACGTGGTAGTGTCTATGCCACTATAAGCATGCAATTACATAATATCATGACACCATAAGCAATTACAAATTCATAAACAATTTCGTATACACGCTCCATGAGATTTCGTATGCTATTTTTCCACATGATATTATAACACCTTATCATGAAAGCATGCTTCAGTATCATCTATGCCATCATAAGTATGCTCCATGAGAATGGAAATGAAAATGAAAATGAAAATGGAGCAGAATGGAATCAATTTAATAAACAAAACTTCTAGAATAGAATGTAACATGCTATCTTTTCTCTCATGTTAGAGTTCGATATCAACAACAAAATTTGATAGGTTTGAATGCATGTGATAATACGTTTGAATGCAGGGGCATCAGAACCGGCGAATATGTTCAACAACAACAGTAAAATTTGATATGTTTGATGAACATTAGAATCATGTCCAGCTGGTATCGAGCTGATCAATACAATGGTGTCAACTCTTGTTTTGTTGTTCCAGTTTGCACCAGTTTCGTCGTGTTTATCCAAACAGAATACAATGGTATCGAGTAGAAATATGAATATAAATGATGAATGATTTAATTGTAGAAATTTGATAGCAATTATGCTTAAGCGATTCTATTGTCACAAACAAACAGAACACATGGTTAGCATGAGAGTAGTTTGAACTCAAAGAGATTTGGTATAGTGATCACCGTCAAGATTGACAACATAATAACATGGTAATCTTTGATTCATCACAAATGGCATACCAACAATTAGCTCATAACATTATCCAACTTCATCATTTAGCTTAAGATAAACAACATAATAACAACATCTCCATTGACCCTAATTTTCGGAAAAAAAAATTTAATTAAAAACTTGTATGCAAGTTCATGTGAACTCACATTCTAAATTCCAATTATAATATACTTAATTATATGCATCCACATTCCAAAAAGTAAATGAATCAAGTTTGTTACCTTATGAGATGATGTCTTGGCAAAACTTTTTGTCCAGTAGCGAGCAGTATTGCAAATGTCTGATATTCTTTGAGGTACTGCTTTAAAAGTCAAAGAAAGTAACAATTAAATAGTTGAATTCATTCTTTCAAAATTATATATCCTTGAAAGTCAAATGCAAAATATATGATAATATCCCCTAAAAGAAACTGCAATATAACAGAAAACACATTATCAAGGATCAACTTTTTTAAAGCATTTCTCACAATGTTCTCCTAGTTATTGATATAATTAATCATTTATTTCTAACTAATTTATGTCATAATAGAAGACATACAAGTTCAAATCCAAACTCAGGAGAAGAAGGTTTTAAAAACAATTCGTAAATGCGAAAACGGCGGCGACAAAACTGTATTGAAAGGTGTCGATATTGATACTATTATTCACTATTTTTAAGATAAAAAATAAATTGTGATTAATTCATACCGCGACGACGCAATCACAGTTATAACATTTGTACCGACCGAAATTGCAAAGATCTTTACGCGACTCGGTCGTTATTTAAAACATTGGCCACTCATCCTCTGCAGCAACATTAAGAATCACTATTGATATGAACATTTGTAAAATTACTCTTGAAATTCAATGGATAATTTGGCCTTTCCTCTAACACAATGGGGATGTTTTCAATTAAATGAGTTTGCACCTCTTAAATCAATAACAGAGGTGTTGTAATGGATATGAATGTAAAGTAATCAAATCACAGCATGAGTGAGCATAATCATGAAGGATAAAAAGCTTGATGACCTTTTTAATCATACATAACAACAGAACATTCAAGAGAAATTCTATTCAACCAGTGAGACAGTGTACCTGATAAGAGAAGAGGGCAGGCTAGAGGAATAGCGTCAGAAGGAGTATTGAACAAAAGAAGTGGGTTTATGAGGTTTGACGAAAGTTGTATGGGTTATTCAGTTGCAAAATGAAAGAAGTGTGTTGTGAACATGAGGGTTTCTCGGATGGTTCACGGTGGTGTTGTTCGGTGGGGAGGGATGGTCGAACGGAGGAAGGTATCATGAGTATGGAGTATGAAGATGGCAAGGTCGCTGGATATACACCGAGTAACAAGTTCGGTTTGAAAAGAGGGAGTAATGGAGTGTGGGTACGAGTTGGGTGGTGGCCGAAAAGGAATGGCGAAGGGATGAAGAGGGAATAGAGACTAGGTTTAGAAGGTTGAGGTGGGTTGTTCGTTGAAGCAGATTGTGAGGGAGTAATAGGTTTTTTTTTTTTTTAAAATAATTCTTAGGATTTTACATCGGTGGGATATTTCCACTGATTTAATAGTTTTTTTTTTTTTAAATAATGCTTAGGCTTTTACATCGGTGGAATATTTCACCGATATAATAGGTTTTTTTTTTTAAATAATGCTTAGGCTTTTACATCGGTGGGAACTTCCACCGATTTAATATGTTTTTTTTTTCCACGTTTTTATTAATTTTCAATATAATTTATATATTAATTCAAAGAATCATTTTTTACATCGGTTTGTCTTTAGACCGATGTAATAGCTTTCTTATATTTTTTTTAACTTTTTTGTCACCTTGTTTCTTATTTACAAAAATGCCACCGTGTTTTTTTTCTGGAAATCTTTTACATCGGTGGATGAGATTACCCGATGTAATAGGTGACGAAAAAAATTTTTTCCCTTATTTTTTATATCATTGGAAATAAATACCTGATGTAAAAAGTTTGTTAACTGTATTTTTTACATCACCTATTTTGATACCCGATGTAAAAACCTTTTCTCAAATATCTTTTTTTTAGTAGTGAACAATGGCCCATTAGCCCAAAAATTCTAGTTTGGTACCTTTTGGTTTCATGCATTTGCTCAAAATTTGCCAACTTGCACCAATCATAACTCTATCAATTTCTATCATTCGAAGGTGATCTTTGACTTTTTTAAAATCCCAAGATGTCCTCCACAATATCTATGTTGATCATACTTTCATTTGAAGACTTTATCTTGATGTAAGTTGCCTTGACAAAAAGTGTCTTTTTGTTGACTTTTGAAATGACCTATAATGTTTTGGCCCATATCTCTCAAATGAAGCATTTTTTGGACTTGAGCTTAGAGAAACAAAGCTGTAGATAATTGAATTTCCTTCACAATGAGCTTTGGTTGAGAAAAATCTGATGAAGCATGTGAAAGTTGTGCTTGGTCAAAGTTCAGTTGACTTCTCCTTAAGAAAACCCTATTTTGGTAACTTTTGACTTTTTGATGAATTTTGAGTTTTCTTGATGAATCATGATCAACCCTTGATCAAATGATGAATATGAACTCAAAATATTGATTTTGAACAAAAATCTTGAAGTTTGACTGTATGTTGACCATAGTTGACTTTTTACTCAATACAATTGATTTTTAGTCATATGAGCAATTGACTGAGCAAACTTGTGATGCAATGCTTGAAATTTGGCATGAGAATTCCTTGAGACAGACTAGGAACCATGAAATCCACTTGAGGAATTAGAAGTCCAATTTTCCTTGATAAACACAAAACCCTAGTTGTAGATCCATTGCTTAGGAGGAGAATTTGTCAGATCAATTCTTGAGCAACCTTGAGCATTTGAAAACCCTAGAAGTATGAGGAGATTTCCTGGAGAAAAATGGGAGGGAAGATTTTGGGGGTACAATAGCTGCCCCTGTTAAATCTTCTTAAACCCGAAGATTTAGATTGGCATGTCCGTCATTCGTGATCTGAAGGTGGACGAGGATTGAACACTTAAGTGCCCAAAAATTTGCATGCGCCGGTGTATGAAGTAACACTATTGATTGATAGTATTGCTTGAATGGGATTGAATATTAAATTCGGAGAGATGATAGAATATCTCCAGAATGGGCTTAAAGATGCCATCCAAAGTAATCGTTGATAGGAATATCAGAATGAGTCCACACTCGACTTGATCTGATGGAATGAAAATTTCCAAAGAAAAATGCTTTTCAAAATGAAGGCCCTGAAGGAGATGCTTTTCAGAATTCAGTCTTTGAAGGGAGATATTTTGGTCATGCAGATAGTCGCCTCGTCCTATTTCGGGAATTGATCTACAATCTGTTTTATTGGCAAACTCGTCCTGTTTTGGGAATTCATATCGCCTGGTCGTACAGATAGTTGCTCCAGCTTGTTTCGAGAATTAATCTATGACCTGCTTTTGTTGGTAAACCAGTCCTGTTTCGGGAATTCATACCACCTGGTCATATAGATAGTTTCCCCATCTTGTTTGGGAAATTAATCTCTGACCCACTTTTTGTTAGAACAAAGTTTGAATCTACTACCCTAAGTTTAAGTTTTGATGATAACAAAATGCTAAGATACATTAATTTTATGATTCATGTAAGACACATATGCTATCTAAAAGTTACATTCTGTTTTACAGAAACTCTGATGGGTATCAGCATGAGAACATCCTCATCAGCATCAGAAAATTGGATATCAACATCAGCATCAGAAGATGTTATATCAAATACCAGAATCAGAAGATCAACCTGCGCTTATGCTGAAGCTTGATGAACAGATCTGCGCTCAACACTCTGAACTCTGATAAAGACAACAACAGTTCATCAGCACCTAAGCAGCGTCAGAATGAGCCAAAGCCAGAACACGCTTAAGTGGCAACGATACTGTGCATTCAAGACGAGTTATTACCAACGTCATCATTCCAGACAAGATCTGCTTTATAAGGAAAGATTGTTATTGGCATTGAAACAGAATTATTTCTCCAACGTACACTATTTCCAATGCTATATAAACAAGTCAATGAAGATTGAATTGGCTAATGCTCTACAACAATCTACACGCCAAAAAGCTATTCATCATCTTCCTCACTCTCAGTTTGCTAAAAGCTCAAAAATTCCTTACTCAATTATTTTAGCAATCTAGTTTCCTTAAGCTTAATTTGTGTAGTATCACAGTTGTGATAAACAGTTTTGTAGAAAACATTCACACACCTAGATTTCAATTCTTTGTAAGAAAGCAATTCCTTGAGAAACCGGTTTGTGGTTTGCATCAAGAAGGCTCTAGCAGTTGCTAAAGCAGATTGTAATATTCAGTTGAATATAGTGGATTAAGACTTCGTTGGAGAGAGGTGAAATCACCTTGACAAGTGGACTAGAGTAGTTTGAGATCAAACGAACCCGGATAAAAATACCGTGTTCATTGCAATTGATTTCCAGTTTTTACAATATCAACATCCAGCGTCAGAAAAACACAATTGCAGGAACTTATCAACACACCAGCAATGACAACAATGAAGACAAAGACAGATTCAGCGGCAAACCTCCAGTCTTTGAAGGAGAAAATTTTGATTACTGGAAAGACAGAATTGAAAGCTTCTTTATGGCACATGATGCTGATCTGTGGGACATGGTGACAGATGGATACACGCACCCTGTGAATGCAAGCGGTCAGAAGATTGATAGGAAAGCAATGTCTGACCAATAAAAGCGTGACTTCAAAAATCACCACAAGACCAAAACCATCCTTCTCAGCGCCATCTCCTATGCTGAATATGAAAAGATCTCCAACAGAGACACAGCAAAGAACATGTTTGACTCACTCAGAATGACGCATGAAGGCAACATTCAGGTCAAAGAAACTAAAGCTCTTGCGCTCATTCAGAAGTATGAGGCATTTAAAATGGAAGAAAGTGAATCCATTAAAACAATGTTCTCAACATTCCAAATTCTGGTGGCTGGTCTCAAGGTTCTGGACAAAGGATACTCTACTGCTGATCACGTCAAGAAAATCATCAGAAGCTTACCAAAGCAGTGGAGGCCAATGGTTACAGCTCTGAAGCTAGCAAAAGATCTCAACAAAATTTCTCTGGAGGAACTTATCAGCTCCCTTAGAAGTCATGAGATAGAGCTAGAAGCTGATGAACCTCAGAAGCAAGGTAAGCCTTTAGCATTAAAATCTAACAAAAAATCCGAGTCTAAAGTTTTGCAGGCAGTTGAAGAAACATCTGATGGATCCTCATCAGAAGAAGACGAACTTTCTCTCCTCTCCAGAAGAGTGAACCAACTGTGGAAGCAGAGGCAAAGGAAGTTCAGGAATCCCAGAAGATCTGATCAGAACGAGTCTTCTTCCAGATACAGAAGGACAGATTCTTCCTCTGGATACAGAAGATCTGAAGGCTCCTCAGGAAGCAGAAAGCCAAACACCAAGGACATCATCTGCTATGAGTGCAATGAGCAAGGACACTACAAGAGTGACTGCCCAAAGCTTCAGAGGGAAAAGCCCAAAAAGAAGTTTGGAAGAGAAAAGAAGAAAAGTCTCATGGCTACATGGGATGACTCTGACTCGTCTGAAGCTGACTCAGAATCAGATGATGAGAGAGCAAACATAGCTCTCATGGCCAACATTTCAGAAGATAGTGAAGCTTCTGAATCAGACTCAGAATCAGATACTGAAGAGGTATTTCCTGAATTTGCAATTAACTTTACTAAGGCTGAACTTGCTGAAAGCCTAAATGAAATTTTGGAAAGGTACCAGCAGATTAGAGTTAAATTCAGAAACCTGAAAAGGAATCTTGAATCTGACTCTGATAAGACTGAGAGTCTTAAATTGGAAAACTCTGAGCTGAGAAATAAAATTTCAAAATTAGAAAATGTTTTACAAAACTCTCAGAAGGAACCAATTTCTAAAACTCCCAGTAGCGCTGATGAGATCATCAAGGAGTATGATCACAGTTTCCAGAAGTTCCTTGCTAAAAGCATAGATAGAAGCAAAATGGCTTCAATGATCTATGGAGTTAGCAGAAACGGCAGGAAGGGAATAGGATACCAAGGTAAGGTTCCTACACCAAAGAATGTCATGGATTTAACCATTAAACACACTCCTCTGAACTCACATTTCGTGTATGGTCACACACATGATATTAAATACACTAGCAGTAAGTATTCTGTGAAACCAAAATTCAACCAGAGTTTTGGTAAATCTAACAAATCAGGACCCAAGAAAATCTGGGTACCTAAGGATAAAATAATACATGTTGCAGATATCTTTAGCAGCAAATCAGAA